ACCATCTATGGATATATCCTAGACAAAATAGTTTGGCCTATTTCTGAATATCATGTACACACACACACACACACACACACACACACACACACACACACCAAATTTTGTGTCTGGAAGTATGTTGTGAGAGTCTTCAATGTTGTTGCTTATAGCTATAGTTCCTGTTTTCACTGGTGGCTAATGCTCACATGTGATTTAGACAACCCATTGAACACTCAATTTGGGTTGTCAAAATTCCCGTGTCACATTTTAAAAGTAAAAGCAGAAGGTGCTGCCCTCTTGTGTTCTATGTTGGTTATCACAACCTTTTGTATGATTCCTTTCTCAGTCTTCAGAGGCAATCAGCAGTTAGTTCCCCAAAGCAACTAGAGTTTCAGAACGCCTTCTTGCTCAGATTACACCTGCAAGGTTAGGAGGCCCCATGATTCAATTGCGGGGAACTCTCCTGTGAAATGACTTTTGTTTCCAGAAGGAAGTTCAGCTCTGCCCAACTGCTGAGGTTTCCATTATCTGATCAGAAAGGAATTTGGCACAAGTAAATTTGCAGACATTCAATGCCCACAGGTGCTTACCAGACACTATCATTTGTCATGTGGTTGTTACATACCAAGACTTACTGTGAAAGCAGAATAGAGATGTTCACCATATGTGTGCTTGCATGCTCACCTCTGTGGGTACACATGTATGTGCAGGTATGTGTGTACTTGTGCACATGATTGTGAAATCTAGAGGCTGATGCTGGGTGTCTTCCTCTTCCACCTTATAGATTAAGGGGGGGGCATCTCACTTGATCTCAAGCTCAGCAGACCAGTGGATCTAGCTAGCCCACTTGCTGCAGGAATTCCACCTTTTACTCTTGAGCAGTGTGGTTTCGGGCAGCCTGCTTTACCCACCTGGTGTTTATGTGGTTGCTAAGAATCTGGCTCAGGTCCTCATGTTTACCAGCAAGCACTTTTTTCTACAGAGTCATCTCTCCAGCCTGTCACATTCATTTTACTGGGTGTTTTATTCTTGAATTTGCCTAGTATTGTTGAGTGCCAAATGTTTCTGTCATAAGACTGTAAAACTAAACAAATACAATAACCCAGAAAATAACTTCTGAAATCTACTTCTTTTAATTATTTATTTAATTATCTTTTTCTTTTATTAAAATAGATTTTTTCCATTCATTTATTTAGCTCATAAATAAAGTCATGCACAATTATGATACACAGTACAGTATGTTCACAATGGCATGGCTAAATTAAACCAACTAACATGTTATATCACACATATTCGTCATTTTTGTTTTGAGAACACTTAAAGTATACTATCTTGTAGGAAGCCGGTTCCTGCATTATCCATTACTATAATAGGTGCCGGAAGACACCAAGTTGTAAATTACTTCACAGGCGCTGGGTAATCTCCATTCCTTTGATCTCTGCCTATCCCGTGGCTCATTTTAGCCTGAGGAGCTGAAGCCATTCATAGGGTAACACGTCCCAGGCGGCTGGTCAGCCTTTATATAGGGATGGTTTTCTTGGTTCAAGGTCTCCGCTCAGTCTCCACTCTGGTAAAATGCATTAAAGCTTGTCTGCAGAAGGATCCGAGTGTCCTGCGTGTATTTCTTGCTGGCGAGGAATACAGAGCGGGCGCGGGACACTATCTCACAACTTTTAAAATATAGCATATTGTTATCAACCATATTTATGCTCTCAGCAGACCTCAAGACTTCACAGAGTCCATGCCTCTTGTCCAACTGCAGTTTTATATCCTTAAACCAATCATTTCCCCATTGTTAAAAGACCCACATTGAAGCCTAATAGCGACAATTCTGCTCTCTGTTCCCATAAGTTCATCATTTCTAGGTTACACATAAAATTGAAATTGTGTGACATTTGTCTTCCAGTGTGTCACTTATTTTTTTAAATAGATTTTTTCATACAATATATTCTGATTACAGTTTCCCCTGCCCCTATACCATCCTGTTCCTCCTCACCTCCCTTTCCATCTGGATTCACACAGCTTTCTAAGGAATAATAATACAATGTAATACAATAGTATAAAACAAAAACAAACCACAGTCTACTGATCAAGTGTACAAGAATGATTTGTGGAAAACCTCTCTAAGACAATGACACTAGAAGCTCAGATGAAATAATGAAATAACAATGCAAGTCAAGGGCAGGCCCTGGGGAGAGTACAGGACAGGCTTTGTGATGAAAGGGGTTGTGATGATTTAAAAATGATGGAAAGATACTCACAAACCAGTAGGATTAATATAGTAAATGACCAGCCTACCAAAAGCAAACAGCAGATTCAGTGCAATCCCCACCAAAACTCCAACACAGTTCTTGGCAGAAATTGGAAGGACAATTTTCAGTTTCATATGGATAGCATAAGCAATACTAAATAATAAAAGAACTACTGAAGGTATCACCACTTCTGTCTTAGTTGGGGCCTTGGTTGCTGTGAAGAAACACTGTAACCCATGGCAACTCTTTCCTATGAAGGAAAACATTTAGTTGAGGTGGAAGCTTACAGTTTCAGGGTTTTAGTCCATTACCATCGTGGAGGGGAGTATGGCAGCGTGCAGGCAGACATGGTGCTGGCTACATCTTGATCAGAAGACAACAGGAAGTGTTCTAAGACACTGGGCATGGTTTGAGCACATATGAGATCTTAAAGTTTACCTCCACAGTGGCACAGTTCCTCCAACAAGGCCACACCTCTTAATAGTGCCCTTGCTTTGGGGCCCATTTTCTTTCAAACTACCACAATCCCCCACCCAAATTGTACTATAGAGCTTTAGTAATAAAGGCAGCATGATATTGGCACAATATCAGACACATGGTTCAATGGAATTGAATTGAAGACCCAGCCATAAATCCACACACTTATGAATGCCGGATTTTTTTTTTTTTTTTATGAAAAGGCAGAAATGTACATGGGAAAAAAAGAAAGTATCTTCAACAAATGGTGCTGGTCTAACTGGATGGCTGAATGTAGAAGAATCCAAATAGATCCATATTTATCACCCTGTACAAAACACAACTCCAAATGGATCAAAGACCTCAACATAAAACTAGATCCATTGAACCCAATAGAAGAGAAAGTGGGACTAGCCTTGTACTCGTTGGCACAGGAGAAGACTTTCTAAACAGAACACTGATAGCATAGGCACTAAGATCAACAGTTAGTAAACAGGACTTTCTGGAAACATTTCTGTGTGGCCAAGAACACTATCATTCGGACAAAGAGCCAGCCTACAAAACAGCAACAGATTTTTACCAACTAGACTCCTGATACAGGGCTAATATCCAAAATACACACAGAACTCAGAAACAAAAACTCTAGCTATCAAGAAATCAAACAACCCAGTTTAAAGAATGGGGTATAGATCTAAACAGACTTCTCACAAAAGGAAACTCAAATGTCTGAGAAACACAGAAATGTTCAACAGGGCTGGAGGGATAGCTCAGGGGCTAAGAGCACTGACTATTCTTTCAGAGGTCCTGAGTTTAATTCCCAGCATCCACATGGCAGCTCACAACTGTCTGTAATTGTAGTCCCATGGAATCTGATGCCCTCTTCTGGTGTGCAGATGTACATGAAGACAAAAAACCCACATTCATAAATATATCCCGGGAAGAAATCTTCAACATTCTTAGTCATGAGGGAAATGAAAAACAAAACTACCTTGAGATTTTATCTTATATAAGTCAGAATGTAAGATCAATAAAACAAGTGACAGCTCATGCTGACGAGAGAGTAAGGACACTCCTCCATTGCTGGTGGGAGTGGAAAGTCGTACAGCCACTATGGAAATCAGAAAAATGGGAATTGGTCTACCTCAAGCTATACTACTCTTGGTCATACCCAAAGGGCACTCCATGCTACTACACAGACACTTGGTCATCCATGTACATTGCTGCTCTATTCATAATAGCCAGAATCTGGAGACAACCTAGATGTCCTTCAACAGAGGAATAGAAAAAGAGAATGTGGTACATTTACACAATGGAGTATTACTCAGTCATTAAAAAATGAAATAATGAAATTCTCATGTAAATGGATAGAATTAGGAAAAAAATCATCCTGAGTGAGATAACCCAGACCCCAAAAGACAAATATGGTATGTATATGTTTATGTACAGATATGAGCTGTTAAGTCAATGATAACTAACTTAGAATCCATAGAAGCACAGAGATTAGGTGCGGAGTAAGGGACTAGGTAGGGACAGGTAGGTCTCCCTAGGAAAAAGAAATAGAATAGACAGTTAAAGATGGATGAGGGTGTGGAATGGGAGGATCAAGTGGGGAGGAGGAAGAAGGAGGGGGAAAAGGGAGGAGATATGGGGAAAGACATATTAAGGGCCATTTGAGAGGTCCTATGAAAAAACCCAATACAGTAGAAGCTTCCTAAATATATACATATATGAAGGCAAGGTAAATGAAATTGTCAGATCTCTTGTCACCAAATGAAGCTTCCAGTACTGGGATTGTGTTACATCTAATTGAGTTGTTAGGGCCCCACAACATGGAAACCCCCAAATAATCTATGCTGTTGCCAAGACTCTAGATTGCTCTCCACAAACTGACAGCAGGCCCTATTGCTGAAGGCAATACCTACACAATTCATTGAACATGGAGAAAGTTGAGCTGATGCCTACTTTGCTTTTACCCCTACATTTTAGTGTCTTTGGTACAGGAAGGTACTCTGGATGCTACTACAAAAAGAGCAAAGTAAACACCAACCCAGCCATAACAATTTGACTGACATTGGGGTTCTGACGGAAATACATGCTAGTGTAACAGTGTAACAGTGGCACAAATCTTTTTTTCTCATTTACATTATTTTATTTGGAAATGTTTATATAACAGTACATCGATACCAAAACTTCAGAGACAATGGCTGTCATCAGTTTTAAAGGGAGACACAAAAATTATTTACATTATGAATAGTTCAGAATGTCAGCGGAATAGTTAGCTTCATGTGATACCTTTTCAACAGTGATATTTCAGTCCGTATATTTTCCAGGAATTTCACCATCTCTAAATAAGAAATAATCCTTGTCGTCTAGAACTACTTTGATGCCTCCATATTCTGGGAGAAGAACTTTGTCTCCAACTTTCACACTGACCGGCTGAATCTCTCCACCCTTTCCTTTTGAGCCTGATCCCATAGCCACTACTGTTGCTTGCAATACTTTTCCTTGAGACTTTTCTGGAAGCATAATGCCACCTTTGGTCACAGTTTCGGCAGCACTCCTTTCAACCAATACCCTGCCAAAGAGCGGTATAAATTTTTTGAAAGCCTGTTCAGCCATGCCTCGCGCCGCTACAGCTTGAACTCTGCACTCGGGACGCAGCTGCAAGGAGAGTCACAGTGGCACAGATCTTGTGGGAGTAACCAACCTGTATCTGATTTGACTTAAGACCTACTTACTCCACAAGATGGAATCCCTACTAGACACTACTTGGGTAGCCAAGAACCTGAGACTAGATAGCCTGGAGGCTTTGGGTAAAACCAAATACTATTGTTTCAAAAACAAAAAGCAATAAAATGATTCCTAATGACATTCTGCTATACTTATAGATAAATTAGCATGTTGTTCAGCCATCATCAGGGAAGCTTCCTCCTGTAGCAGATGGGAACAAATTCAGAGACCCACAACAAGCATTATGCAGAGCGAGAGACTTTGAAATACTCAGCGCTAAATGGGTTGCCTCCACTAAATCCCTCCCCTCAGGGCTCAGGGAGTTCTATGGAAGAAGAACAGAAAGATTGTAAGAGCAAAGGGAATGGAGGACACCAAGGAATCAACGCCTTCTAGACATGACAAGGCTGATACACATACGAACTCACCAAGACTGAGGCAGCGTGCACAGGGCCTGCATGGGTCTGCACCAGATGGGGTCCTGCAGCTGAAAGGAGAAGTGGACACGTGTCCCCATCCCTATCCCAGAAGCTATCTCCAATTTCTAACTACTTGCAAATGAAAAAGTAGTTTTCTCCAAGAGTGTCTCACTGGAGAAACAATCTACTCGTACAGGAAGGTCCCATGCCCAGCACGCTGTACATGGTCAACAGAAAATGAATTCAATGGCACAATGGCATCTTTGGAAGTTCTTTGTCTCATAGTGTGTCAGGGGTTTCCCTTGTTTGATTTTATTTTTCAAGGCAGGGTTTCTCTGTGTAGCCCTAACTGTCCTGGAATTTGCTCTGTAGACCAGGCTAGTCTTGAACTTAGAGATCTGCCTGATTCTGCTTCCCAAGTGCTGGGATTAAAGGTGTGTCACTGCTTGGTGCCTTTTAAATTTTTTTTTTTATTGTGTGTGTGTGTGTGTGTGTGTGTGTGTGTGTGTGTAAATATATATTTCTCTTCTTGTTTTCCCTACAGGTTCTTTGCATATTTACCATGATATGTTATTGCTTCCAATTTTCATGGAATTCCTGAGTGTTGGAGTGAGTGGGTGTCTGACTTTATATCTGTTTTGGGAGGCTTTTCTTGGGCCTTTTTTCTTCTGTTTGTTTAGTCCTATTCCAATGTGTTAATGTTTGTTTTATCCTATTTTATTATTATCCAGTAGAAACCTTTTGTTTTCTAATGAGAAACGGTAAGGCGGTGGATCCATAGGGGAGGGGTGAGACCGGGAGGGACAGATAGTGGGGGAAAATGAAATCAGGATATATTATGTGAGAAGAAGATACATTTTCAAAAAAGAAAACAATTAATGTTATGAAAAAGGGATAAATAGTGTGTAAGGTCAGCAAAGGAGAGCTAGGAGCAGCAAGAGGCAGGTTGAGACTGTTTTGCAGTGGGATCGTACAGCATGGGGAGAGCAAGTCTCTGAGCGGGGACAGGCCAGGGTTCTTTAGTGGGACTTCAGCTCAGGAGGTAAAGGCAACCGGTGTTGATCAAAGAGTTGATCGGGCTCCAAAGGCTGCAGCAGCTCTTGTTGTTTCTCTAGGGTGTGCTGGGTAGTTTTTCTAGAAACATAGCCTTGGTTTCAAAATGTGTTTGCCTTGTATCTACAAGCATCCCAGCTTTGAAGTTCATAGGCCAGAGGGTGGTTTACACAGCTATGTTATTCACACAACTGCTAGTGGCATCTTGCTTAAACACTCTAGCCTATGGTGTGGCCTGGTTTTATCACAAGGCTAGGGACTTGGGGTGCTTGAGCTGCAGAGAGGGTTCAAGGGCAAGGCACAAGAAACCCATCCTGCTTATAAGTGACTAGGCCACTTTACCTTCTCAGGTCTTGGCCAAGCCTTCTAAAGTATGATTCCCATGCAGAGTGGGGGAGGCTCTAAGGGTTAAGGGTTAAGGGTTAAGACAGCAAAGAGGATAGACACAATATAAAAATTGAGATAAGTCTTGTAGCTCATTGTTTTTATATCCTCATCAGCTCTCTGTAGGCCCAAGTGAAGAGTCAGTGTTTTTAGCAAAAGTGGCTTTTATGTTTCCCCAAGTAGCCTTAGCAACTTAATCATAGGCCAAAGGCCAGAAGCATGATCCATGGCAGACGTAGTGGTTAGCTGACAGTTCACTGCCCAGTGCTGTGATCTCCCAAATTAGTGGCAGATGACGTCCAGAGACCTTCTTTAGATCTTCCCACAGTGGCCTTGGTAACTCACATGAAGGGCAGGGGGATCCCCTGTGAAGGGACTTGCTGGCCAGCCTGATATCTGAATTGATTTGGGGGCTGAACAAGGGCATTTTATGCAATGAGGCTTTTGCCTTCTTCACCATTCCCACCAAGCCTTTGTTTACTCATTTGTCTTGAGGGTCTTGGGTGGTTTGTGTAGGCGTCTTGATCTTCATCTGCATTAGCGGTTCTGGCCTCAAGGGGGCCCCGTGCTCTCCACACTTGGGCTTTGTGTTTTATAGCAAAGCTGTTGAGGGAATATGAGGATGGAAGAGAAGGAAGCACATAGGATTCTTTCAATGAGTAACCACTAAGGCCGGGAAACTCATTTCAGTGGTCTCTTTCTCAGGAAGATGGGTGGGGCCTTGTAGATGCATTTGATTCAAAGTCAGATTTCTGTAGTGAGCGATAGGATAGGAATTCATTAGAAAGTTTGAGGAGGGTGGTGTGATGTAGTTCAAGCCTCAAATCTATCTTTGTGGCTGTTGGCAGGAAGTTGATCATGCAGCATACATGGCTTTGGAAGCAGGCTTTTTTGTTTGTTTTGTTTTGTTTTTGTCTGATAGGAAATCACAGAGTTCAGAACTGGTAAAACGGTAGTATGGTGAAGAGATCTCATCTCAGGGTATATTTTGATGCAGTGTGGATAAGGAATATGAGGATGGGGAAAGAGGCAAACAGTTACGGATGATCTCTGTGTTTGGCTTCAGCCATCTCTCATAAAAAACAAACAAAAAATGCACTTTAATTTGTTCCAAGAATTTGAATTGAGCCCCCTGATATATTCTCAGAGACTGATGCTGTTCTCTTGTGACACATTTCATCTTTACACATGGTTTCATCTTTACACACAGTGTTCTTTTATGTACAGCAGCATTTCCCAGTAGACTCTGAGCTCTCTGCACAAAGAAACACTGTAGCTATTAAACAAGCTTCATACTCTCAGCATGCATGTGCTGAGATGCTGTGATGGAGCATAGCCAACATCTTTTCAGTGGTGAAGGGACTCATCTTTTGGCTCTTAGTCTGGTCATTGGGGTTGGCGTAGACACTTGAAACATTCAGCAAATCAAGTTAGGAAGAGAGGTGTCTTGAATTTGTTTTGAGTGTGTTTGAGGATGGTTCCTTCAGTAGCTTTCTAATGAGCAGCCACAGGGGAGGTTTTGCTCAGGCCTCAGTGCTGGAATGGTGCTGTACTTAAAGATCTCTTTATTTTCCTGGATAGGTTCTGGGTACTACTTGATATTCCTATTTCCTCTTTCATGTTGGTGTCTACAGACACAGAGCCAATAGGGCCATGCCCACAACAAATATCTAGGGATGTACAGAATTAAGTTGTGTATCAAAACTCCTGTCCTGGATTAATCTGCTTTGTAACCTTACTTTGTACCTTGGGCTTTTGTTTCTACTGCTTATATAATTTTTAGTATAAAACTTTCAGGTAGAATCTACAAAGTTTTCATACTTTCCCATGATCATTTTTAAATATTTTATTTAATATTCATACGCAGATATAATGTGTTTGAATTGAATAGGCCCCCATCCAGACCCCTCCTCTCTGCTCATCCCCAACTTTGCCTTCCAACTTTTTGCACTTTCTTCTTCGAAAACTTGCAGAGTCCACTTTGTACAGCCTTTTTGGGTATGGGTGTGGGACTACCTATCTCTGTTTTTCCATTGCTTGGGTTTAATGCACAGGCCATACCCAGGTGCTTTGTATTTTTTTTTAATCTTTTAAACATGACTGGGATTGTGGGGTGGTGGTGGTTTGAACCCAGGTCCTCATGCTTACACTATAAAGACCTTACTAACTGGGAGGTTATTTTCTAGTTCCATCTGTTTACCTGTGAACTTCAGATTTCATTTTTTTAAATAGTGGAGTAATATTTCATTGTATAAATGTATTGTATTTTTCTTTATCCATTCATCTATTGGTGGACAGGTTGTTTCTAGAGTCTGGCTATTATGAACAGAGCAGCCATGTGCATGGTTGAGCAAGAGTGTCTATGGTAGGATCATTGTGAGTTCGAGGCCAGCCTGGTCTACAGAGCAAGTTTTGGAGTGAGTTCCAGGACAGCCAGGGCTATACAAAAAACCCTGTCTGGAAAAAAAAAAGCAGGCTTAAGAATGATCCTGTGGGACTGGAGAGATGGCTGAATTGCTAACAGCATGCCATGGTCTTCTAGGGAACCTGAGTTTCATCCCTAGCAACCATGTTGGGTGGCTTACAAATGCCTGTGACATGATTACAGCTCCAGGGGATTCTACGTGTCTGGCTTTTAAAGTCATCTGCACTCGCGTGTGCATATATGCAATGACACACACACATAATTAAAAACAAAATAAAGTCTTTATAAAGAAGGAATGATTTTATGGTGGAGAATCACCTCAGGCAGCTAGAGGCCTGGAGGGGTCATGTGGTAATAAGGGAAGTAGCTAGTGAGCTTCTGATGGATGCATGAGGTCAGAAGCAGGAGAGAAAAATAGAAAATGTGGACAACATGAGCTGTGAATCAGAGCCACCTTTGTCCTCTTTGGGAAAAATGTACAACAATTAATCTACAGTTACTTTGTGGGTGGCTCTGGCATTACATATGAATCTTAAGTATAGTGTCATGTAGAGACTGACCTATGTGGACTGTAGCTTCAATAGGACATCGAATCTTCAAATGGAAAT